TGTATATTTAAGGGAGTAGTTGCTTCTGATCACGAATATGACATTCATTTTTGGCGCTGGCGCTAATGGATGACACTACGGTTACCTGCGCTCTGCTAAGGCTGAGCCCAGGAGGTAATCGTAGTGTCCTCTCTTGGCGCCAGCGCCAAGAATGAGTGTCATACTCGTAATCAGGATGTTGAATTACCCCTATATACAAGTTTTTAGTGGATTTGGTGACTTAGGCAATTTGAAAATGAGCTCGGAGCCGAAATTTCTGGAGTCCAAACGGCATTAGCCCTTTAGGCGTTAGTCACAGTCTGCGACCCAGCGTTTCTCTAGAAAGAAACGCTTCGGCGAAAAGCTTTCGATACGTATCGATTGGCGGTTGGGCGAAGAGTCTGGCGGTTGCGCGAAACGGTTTTGATACGTATCGACGGGCGGTTGGGCGAAGAACGCTAGGCCATCCATCCTGGCGTTTTCCTTTGGGCGGAGCCTGCAAAATCGAAACGCATCTAGTGATTTTCGCTCAGCCGCTCAACCGCTGAACCGCGACGGTTCACGGTTGGCGATTCTCCGATTAATAACTATTTTTTGCTTTTCGCCGAACTGCCGTTTCGTTAGGGTCTCAGACTGTGAACAATGCCTTACTTTCCTTTACGCTCAAAAAGCCAATTCCTCGTGTTAATTTCCTTTTCGCTCAAAGAGCCAATTCCCCTATTCCCCGACTTACAAAAACTAACGCAGTCGTACTGAAGTTAAGAATGTATTCTTTTACTTGCCTTTTAGTTCTTGCTGTGAATGCCGGCGCCATCAGAATCGTGCGAGGAGTCGGATTTCTCTGAACAGAGCGGTCAAGCCAACGAGTCAGCAAGACCTAAACTTGGTAATATAACGGATACGAGAAGACGAGAAACCAATCAATCTCGTGCGAATGTGACGGATTCTAGCGAAAATTCGGAAGATGAGGATCAGAATGGCGATGAAACAGGAGTAGCTGTGGCAAGGTGGGAACGGTCAGTTTTCAATGGATTCGAACCTTTTGTGAAATCCGAAAGTACCTTTCAGGTTTGAGATCCCTGACAAAGATGAAGATTTATTATCGAATTCGTTGAGTGCATTCATCGTGTCTAAGGACAGCATTACGTTGGAAACAGCACAGAAAGTCGTTCAAAGTCAGTTTTGTTGACTTTTCGAAACGATTCATCTGCACTGTGCACCCTTTGCTGCCACTTCCCGAAGTAAGGGCCAGATTTGAATCAAATTTTGCCTGGTTTGGCCAGCAAGCGCTTCGCATAAAACTGTGGTGCAGTGGTCTCAGTAGTAACATTTCCTTAAGAGCTCCCTAAGAGCGCGTTCAGAATTCGCGATCGCGCGAACTGGATGGCGCTATTCGCGAAGTCTGAACGTTGTCCAAGGTTGCCTTCGTACTTCGCGTCTCAGGCGATTCGGCTACTCGAGAGATTTGCGTGCCAAAGGAGTGGATCAGTATCGATCAACGCCGTCGCTAAGCGACTGCAGAGATTTGGCGATCCGGCGAATACAACAGTTCGGCTCGAGCTTATCTCATTTGTTATGAAAACCTACCTGTGATCCTCTTTCAGGTTTCGAAAGCGCTGTCGATGATGATGACTACGGTGCCATCTATACGTATTTTGATGATCTCTTTAATATCTGCAGGTAGTTTCTTTAATCCTCTTGTCATTTTTTATACGGCTGGCTAAAGTACTAGTTCAGGATCGAAACTACAATTCGGCGATGGAATATTTGGCTGGAGTTGATCCAGTCATTAATTAAAGGTCATTGTCCTTGCTTCTGGCTAATCCTGTTACCCTACCAACTTATTAGATCTGGTAGAACAAAACTGTATTTCAGCATTCAAGGCGTTCAAGCCCGACCTCGTCAATGCTCTCTGCCACGCTGTGAGCGCTGGCGAAACTTTTCAGGAAAACGTGAGGCACAACTCCCTATTTTCTCTATCAGATGTGTTGTTAATGACATTTTAAACTCCCGTCGTCCATTTTAGTTGGCAGAAGTATGCGCAGATCGCGTGGAAATCCTGCAAATGCTCGTCTATTTCATTCAAAGATAACTTTCCATATAGAAGGCGCCGTGATTAAACGGTGAGGCTTCTGTTTAATGCTATCGAGTAGAATGTGCTACAAAAACTTGGCACTTATTATCTTTAACTGCCCCAGTCGTCCGAAATCTGGCGTTTTTTGACCGGCTTTTTTTTCTTACATGGGCGATTCACTAGAAATTCGTTCTCCTTGGGGTTGTAACCTTCCGAAGAATGAATATCACATGCTCAGCACGAAATCTCCTGGGGCCCGCGTTACAGGCGACGGCATACCAAAATCACCGACGCCTGTGGTGCGGGCGTCGGGTGGTTTCGGGCCAAGCAAATGTGATATTCGTAATCAGCAGGTAAAATTACATCAGAATGCAACGATTGAGCCAAGGCTGTCCAAGGAGAAAAAAGTCGGTTGAAAATAGGCACGATTTCGGATGTCTGAGGCACTAAAGGTAAAAGAGTGCCAAACTTTTTGAGTGTGCAACTCCGTCTTCGTACTACCTCGGCATTGTTGTGAATGATGGTAGTTTCCTTTTCCAATAAGCCAACCAGGTTGTTAGATGGAACTATTTAATTTATGGCTGATGTTTCTATTAGGTTGTCCGGAAAGTTCTTAGCGTTTTGGGTGTTTAACTTTAAACGATCATAACTTTCTTAACACTCATCGGATTTAATCCAAATAAGCACCATTCGAATCAGCACACTTTTGCCAATGTGGCAGCAGTCGAGAAATCCCATCAAAGAAAAAACTGGGTGGTCGAGAATCCACGAAATCTGCGAATTCTTTTTGCCTGTCTTAATTGATGAAGTATTTTCAGCAAGAAGTCTGAAAGGCTGAAAATGGTGCACAGTCGTTGTGAAAGTCTTAGAGAATATGGTGGGTGAGTTAGAAACTTCAACTCCAATTCGTTTCAAATTTATGGATTATGATTTGTTAAAAAAGTGTGGCGGCGGGGGGGTGACCGTTGTATGCAAAAAATCGGACCCTTTCTTTTGATAAGTGTGGCGCCAGCTGACAATATTTTCGGTACATTTGGTCGGTTTGTTCACAGTAGGGTTCTGCTGTGATGGTTTGGCCTGGTGATGAAAAGTTATAGTGGATTACAACAGCCGATGACCACCAAACCTGACCAGAATTTTTTTTCGAGGGTTCGGCTTTGAAAATTACCTCGGTGGTTCCTCCAAATCCAACCACTGTCCGGAACGTCTCCTGTTATCATACATGATCCATTTTTCATCACAGGTGACAAATCCGTTCAAAAACGGGTCAATTCTTTTGCGCAAAAGCAGTGAAGAAGGAACCTCGAGACGTGCCGATTCCTGCCGGTCACTCCGATTGTGGGGCACCCAATTGTCGAGTTTTTTCACCTTCCCAATGCGTTCCAGACCATCTGCAACAGTGGATTTGCCAAGGCCTAGCTCTTCTGCTATCTCTCGAACTGTTGGGATGGTGTCAACCTTCAAAATCCCCCTAAAATCCTCGTCAGATATTGCTTTAGGTCGACCGCTATGAGGCTCACCTTCAAGGCTGAAATCTCCAGAGCGAAATTTATTGAGCCATTGCCGCACAGTGCTTTCTTTAGCACTATTGGGCCCCACACCTGGTTAATTTGTTGAGCTGTTTCGATTGCGGATTGCCCCAATTTATAGCCGAAGAAAAAATCGTCCGAAGTGCTCTTTTCACATGCTTGAAAAAATCTTGAAAAAAAGGGTTTATCAAGCAATGGTGAAACGGCAATTATACCATCAGATAGCGCAAGAAATTCTCTACAGGATGTGCTACTGAGAAGCAAGGCAGAATGAGTTTTTAATCAGCAGTGAATGTACAAAGATTAGGTGCACAAAACGCTAAGAACTTTCCGGACAACCTAATACTAGATGGTCGCCCTCTGAGGCCCAGTCCACCAGCGCGTGAGTGGAAAGACGCCGCAATGTGTTAGTTGTGGTTAGTAACCATGGCAGTAAGGCAGCGTTCATACTTGTAGCGCTGCAGCGTCGCGCTACAGCGTCGCGCTACTGCGTCGCGCTACAGCGTCGCGCTACAGCGTCGCGCTACAGCGTAGCGCTACAGCGCCACTTCGCAACGTACTGCTTTCCAACGTTAGGATGATTAGATTGCTTACAGAGAAAAGTGGGAAGGTTGCTGGAGTTTTCTTGAGAAATTCACGGAAAGGTGAGACTGATACAGCTGTAACTATCTGACCATCCTTGACAGTTACTCCATTAGTCACTATTTTTCTGGTACTGCTTTTAGCGTAACAGTGTCCTGTCCTATTAAGAGCATTTTCTGCAAAAAACACCCAAAGAGTACTCGCGCCACCTAAAAACACGCACGCATGTTTTTTTTACCGGAGACAGAAGAACCATAAAGGAACTTCTTGTTTGCCTTGTTAAACTCATTGGTGACCAGACAGTGTTCGCGTGCCTGTTGTGGGAGATAGGCCATTTTTACGCTCCTGGGCCAAAAAAGTACAAGAAACTGTAAAGCTTTGTTGGGTAATGCCTCGAAAACCGGCATGAATCTTTTTCTTGTGATCCAGCATAAGATTGGGCGATCGCAATAGCGCAATTTCCTCGCGAGGCATCCATAAGCGGCATTGGATTCTGTATTCATTCTTTCTGTATTCAACCGTCTTCTCTTTTTCTCATATTTATCTGATAGTGAGCTCCTGTTGTCTACCTTATCACTTTTTAATGTAATTTCTGATACAGAGGACTGTTATAATTGGTCTTATTTATCGTTTTAAAGTTCTAATTATTCAGTTTCAGAGTTGCTTTTGATGTTGGATGGCTTTGATTAAGCTATACCAGTGGTGCCTCACGTTGACTCCGATGACGAAATAGTTTTTGGCATCCACGTACAGATGGCAAGCCATGATGTTTTTAGGTGGCGCGAGTACTCTTTGGGTGTTTTTTGCAGAAAATGCTCTTAATAGGACAGAAGGACACTGTTACGCTAAAAGCAGTACCAGAAAAATAGTGACTAATGGAGTAACAGTCAAGGATGGCGTCAGATAGTTACTATCAGTTCTCACTTCCGTGAATTTCTCAAGAAACTCAGCACCTCCCACTTTTCTCTGTAAGCAACTCTAATCATCCTAACGTTGGAAATTGCAGTACGTTGCGAAGCGGCGCTGTAGCGCTACGCTGTAGCGCGACGCTGTAGCGCTACGCTGTAGCGCGACGCTGTAGCGCTACAAGTATGAACGCTGCCTAACCAACTTCTGAGGGACCGAAACGGCAGCTGCGGACTGCCCCCCTTGCACGAAGGGAGGATCCACCCCCCGGGAATAATGGAATAGTTTTAGCACGTTGTTCTGTTGAGAACATGGT